GGAGTAATGGAGGTAGTTAGGACTGGGGAAAAGATAAGAATCTTTGAAAACCTGTATACCAAAGCTGAGAAAGTTTCTTACACAGTCTGCAAGGTTATGAAGCCTTCCTTCTTTTTTAAATTTATTTTTGTTGGAGTATAGTTGTTTTCTGGTGCTGTTAGCTTCAGTGTACAGAAAAGTGAATCAGTTATATGTAAACATGTTATCGACTCTTGTTTTAGCTCCTTTTCGCATACAGGTCTTTACAAAGCATTGAGTCGAGTTCCCTGTGCTGGACAAGAGGTGTTTATTAGCTACCCGTTATATATATTGTCATGTGTATATGGCAGTCCCAATCTCACTTATATGTGGAATCAAAAAAGGGGGCACAGACGAGCCTTCCTTCTGCTTAAAGCCTCACGTGAGGCCCTGGGCTCAGGCCTCCCGCCGTCGCTGCGCTCCCTCCGTCCTCCTAGGCCGAAGGGCATGACCCAAACACGGGGCCTTCCTGAGCTCGCCCACAGCTCTGCTGCTCCAGCTGTTCCCTTCTCTTGTGTCTGACTTACTTCCCTTTTGTCTCCCCGACCTCTATCACCTTGGTCTTTTTTTCCCCCCAACTACCCTCATTAGAGATCACCAACAATTCTTCTCCCTGTCTAAACGGTGTAGAAACTCCATGTGGGACTGACTCAAAATTGGATAGCTGCCTTCCTCAAAACTTTCAAAACTGTTGAGTCTTTTAGTTCAGAACAAGAAAACGGGATCAATAAACATTTTTCATCCAAAGGTCATAGCTGTGTTTCTCCCCTCCACCGCCACTGGGGAAAGAATGCCTAGAATTCAACCAGTTTCCTAAAAGATCTGTGATCCAAAGGGTGAACAAGACCCTTCGATAATTCAGCATCCTGAGTGTTTGGGGGCGTCTACTTTGTGACGACCCTCAAACCAGATTAGATTCCATGGTACATCAGCCACTTTGTCTTTCCGCCCGAGAAGCAGCGTTAACTGCTAGAGCAGGTGCCTGAAGAAACTCCTGGTTCTGTGGAAGGTCACTAGGAAACAGGAGGCATAGCTTCTGGTGGAAAAGTTATGCCACTAACTTGTTGCATGTATTGGGCAAGTGTTTTCATGTTTCTGGGCCACTGTTTCCACATCTCTAATTAGGGAATTGGACTAACTCAGCGGTTTCAAACCTGACCTGGAGATTTGGGCCCCACGCCCACCCACCTCCAACCAAAAGAGACTGGTAGGAGTCGCTGTAACCTGATTTTTTTAAGGAACCCTTCTCAAAGCATCCTATTGTCTGCCACGTGTACAAACCACTGTAGCTGAGACTCTGTGGGGTTACTTCTAGCTTTAAAATGCTGCACGATAGTCACTCAGTCATGTCTAACTCCTTGCAACCCCATCGAGTATAGCCTGCTAGGCTCCTTTGTCCATGGAATTCACCAGGCAAGAATACTGGAGTGGGTTGTCATTTCCTTCTCCAAGTTAAAATACTGATTTTTCCATTAAACTAGTATTCTCTACACTAATGCTAACCTGAATTAACATGAAGTATTGGTGTTAGTCAGGGCTTCTCTGATAGCTCAGTGGTAAAGAATCTGCCTGCCATGCAGGAGACCCTGGTTTGGTTCCTGAGTTGGGAATATCTGCTGCAGAAGAGATAGGCTACCCGCGCCAGTATTCTTGGGCTGCCCTTGTGCCTCAGCTGGTAAAGAAACCGCCTGCAATGCAGGAGACCAGGGTTCGATCCCTGGGTTTGGAAGATTCCCTGGAGAAGGGATAGGTTATCCACTCCAGTATTCTGGCCTGGAGAATCCCATGGACTGTATAATCCATGGGGTCCCAAGGAATCGAACACGACTGATGACTTTCACTTTCATTGATATTAGTCAACAGAATGAATATATCAGAGCATTCTGTTTAAAATACACGTGATTAATAATATGTGTGAATGAAATTATTTATTCAGAGAGCCCAGCACAGTAGTGCTGGCTATATAATGAACACTGACCTCATAGGATTTGCAGTGAAAATAAGTGGGATATTGTGGCTGAGGAGCATGTGCCAGCGTGCTGACGACAGTGAATACTCAATGAATTGATAGCCGACAGGATGGTAATAGGGCTTCCCAGGTGGCATTAGTGGTCAAGAACCTGCCTGCCAATGCAGGAGACATAAGAGACGTGTGTTTGATCCCTGGTTTAGGAAGAACCCTTGGAGAAGGAAGTGGAAACCCACTCAGTATTCTTCCCTGGAGAATCCTATGGACACAGGAGCCTGGCAGGCTACAGGGTCTACAGGTCTATAGGGTCGCAAAGAGTTGGACACGACTGAAGCAACTCAGCACGCACACACACACAGGGTGATAATAATTGTGACATTGGTTATAAGATCTCATTACTCAAAGTGTGTCCCAGGGGTGAGCAACATCAATATTATCTGGGAACTCATCAGAATGCAGAGTCTCAGGCTCCACCCCAGACCTCCTGAGGCAGAACCTGCATTTTAACGAGATCTCTAGGTGATTTGTGTGCACACAGAAGTTCAAGAAGCACTGATATAGAAAAAGTCTTGGGGTTCAGCAACTCCAGGGAACTCATACTAGTAGTAAACTATTGGGGTTGGGAGTCACACGCAAATTAGAAGATGCTAAGGCCAGTGCCTTTCTCTTATTCCTTAGAAAGTGTCTCTGACCCAGAGATGTCAGACTTCTGAATCCCTCTAGCATGCTCTTTCTCGCATCCAAACTGTAACTGAAAAGCTTTTTTAAAAACACAGTATTATGTCTACCACAGTAGCAATAGCACTGTAATTTTGCTTTATTTTTCACATTTTTAATTATTCAGCTGTTTTATTTGTCACCATTTAGGGAATTATTGCAAAACTTATGTCTACAATGCTACTGATTAATGCATATTTAGGCAACTAAACAGATGTAGAATGGGTTGACTGCTTTGATAAAATTAAACATTGATGAAACATATATTTGCACAGCAATAATGATGCTGGCATTTGTGTAAATAATAACAGATCTAGCTCCCTAATCATCCACAAAACACAGTGAAGGAGGTGACAGAATTACCAAATACGTCTCACTTACTAGGCAGATCATTTTCGAGTGCGTGTTTTTTTCCATGTGAATAAAGTTATGTTAATTTATAGCATCTATTACCACTTTAAAATGAAAGAAGTATATTTGAGCAAAAAACAATGTGGATGAGACCCAAAGCACATTTCCAAAATATGTTATAATCTCCAGAGCTGCTTTGTACTTCATGGAAGGTACATGTCTTCTAATGTACTCCTCCACAGTAATGTGGTTTGATTTTATGCAAGATATGTTCTGAGCTTAACTGAATCTATGTTACACATTTTAACATCTCTGAAATTGGGATCTGTCATAATTGATGGCATGTCACAATTCAATTGACAGCATTTTTTTTCTATTTTTTACAATCAATTGGATCTTAAAACCAATTAAATTGAAAATTAGGATCTGTAGTGAACTTAATCCTAGTACACATGCTAAGTCACTTCAGTCGTGTCTGACCCTTTGCGGCCCTAGGGACTGTAGCCCACCAGGCTCCTCTGTCCATGGGACTCTCCAGGCAAGAATACTGGAGTGTGCTGTCATTTCCTTCTCCAATCCTAGACCACAGAGTACAATAAATGGAACATAAAGGAATCATTACAGCCACCTGTATTAAAGTAAGAAGGGCAAGCAAATAAAGAGATAGAAATGACATTAAATAAGAAATGGTTCCACGGATTTCTGTTTTCACAAGAGCCAGAGGGGAAAATCCTAGAAGATAAGATAATTTAGTAAAAGGGCAAGAAAGAGCAGTAAGAGAGATGGAAAACAAAAGGAGAGCAAATAAAGAACCAGCTGGAAAATGTAGCCAAAAAGTATATTGTTTTGACCACGGTTCCCTTAAGTTCAGTGTCCTACACCAGCCAGTCAATTTGCCGCTCCCTTTTCTGGATGCAGGAGATGCTCCCAGCATCTTTCAGGTGGTGTTTTCTCTCTGCTGGCCCACACAGGTGGGCCAGTCACCCCATCACCTCTGAACTTCCATCTCTTTCCCTGCCTCCTGTGTTTTATCCGGGCCCAAGCCACCCACGTTACCATCCAGGGTTCTTGGCCTCCTTAGTCAATAGAAATCGGCCAAAGGCCAGACAAGAAACTCCCGCAGGTCTTCACTGGGGCCGCTGCTGCACAGAGGGAGCCAAGAAGGAAGCACAGGCTCCCCGGCGCGCTCACTCCGCAAGGCGGGGCCAGCTGGTCCACGCGGTGCGGGTGGGCGGGGCCAGCTGGTCCACGCGGTGCGGGTGGACGTGCCCAGGGCCGGGGCCAGCGGGCGGCTCAGACGGCCGCACTCCCGCAGGTCTTCACTGGGGCCGCTGCTGCACAGAGGGAGCCAAGAAGGAAGCACAGGCTCCCTGGCGCGCTCACTCCGCAAGGCGGGGCCAGCTAAAGGCCAGACAAGAAACTCCCGCAGGTCTTCACTGGGGCCGCTGCTGCACAGAGGGAGCCAACAAGGAAGCACAGGCTCCCTGGCGCGCTCACTCCGCAAGGCGGGGCCAGCTGGTCCACGCGGTGCGGGTGGGCGGGGCCAGCTGGTCCACGCGGTGCGGGTGGGCGGGGCCAGCTGGTCCACGCGGTGTGGGTGGGCGGGGCCAGCTGGTCCATGCGGTGCGGGTGGACGTGCCCAGGGCCGGGGCCAGCGGGCGGCTCAGACGGCCGCCCACCCGCAGGCGCAGGATCCTGCTTTCCGTCTGGCTCTTCAGAAACGGCAGTTGGGTTTTTTTTGTCTTTTGTTTGGTTTCTTGGTCTTTTATCTTGTTGTCCACAGTTAGCCCCAGCTGCACGTTCACTTTTAGTCCCTTGTAGTTTCTTCGTATTTTGTTGCTTGAGGAAGGTGTGTCCAGATGCAAACACAGCCAAGCGTCCCGGGGCCCAGGCCCGTCTCCCTGGGCGTGAATGATGGTTACAACTTCTGTTTTTGTTCTTTCAGGTGATCTCAAGATTATCAAACAAATCGACAGTCTCACAGGTATGGCTTTTTGCCAAAGAGCAAAATATTTATCTAAACTTCGTGGGATTTCCAACAAATCTGTTTCCCTCTTGAAGATTTTATGTATTCACCTTTGACTTCCCCTAAAACACTTCCCAATGAGAGATGTGGTAATTGACTTTCCTGCGTTTGGGAACAGAAAGAAGGAGACTCATAAATCTTTTTAAGGGCCTTACTGGTATGGTTAAAAAGTAGTTTGTCACCAAAACCTGCCCAAACTAGCAAAGTCCTGAAGTGTTCATCTTAGCAGAATTGAGCTTGTAGGTCAGTCTCAACTTTTAAGAACCCTCCAATTTCATGGAAAACTTTCCTGCAAAACAGTGGCTTGTCAGACTTATAACCTAGACTTTTATTGCCAATCATCCTGTGACAGGAACCCTATAAACGGCTCCTTTTCTTGCCTTGTTCTCTTTGTAAAGCAGAGCCCCCAATTTTCACACACACACACACACACACACACACACACACACACACACACACTTGCATGCAGAGGCACACGAATAAATCCAGTTGCATAACACGTTACAGAGATGTTGATACTTGACTGAAGATGGTTGGAAGTGGGGAGCAAACTGAGCTAGTCTTGAAAAGTGTTTTTAAAACTCTTAAAGCATCTCAGTGCTGTCAGCCACGTTTCTCTCTGGCACTGGTTGCCTTTCCTCTCCCTTCTCTACAAAACCCCTCCTCTGGAACTAGTAAAACTGTCCTTCCGTGAGAGTAGGCATCTTCTCGACAGGCATCCTTTCCTCGTGACTGTACCTCTTTTCTGCCAGGTCTTTCCTGTATTCTCTTTCTCATGAAGAGAAATGTAACCTTCTTCTGGATTTTCCAATTTGAATTCTTCACCCCTCCACAGCACTCCGAAAATGAACATCCCTTCCAAGAATACACCACCCTTAACTTTAAAATAAATTTCTCTATAATTAAGGCTGAAGCTCATTTGCAGTATCAAAGCCACTAGAATAACAGGGGTTTTAATAAAATACTTATTTATTTGTCTCTCATGGATTAGGTTGGAGGTGGGCAATATGACAGTGTCGATCGGGTCTAGAGATTTCCTTCTTGCTGCATGATCTTTAAAGCATGCCTTCCTGCTTCAAGATCTCCTCATTCTCTCAGATGGCTGCTGGAGACCCATTCATTTCACCAGTGTTCCAGACTAGATGCTAAATAAATATAAAAGAGCAAGATAGAAGCTCCCCTTCTTCAAGGAGCCTTCCTTAAATGTCCTTATAACTGGTCGACTTATACACTATCATCCCAGAATTTGGACTCATGTCTAAACTATATGGCAAGGGAATGTGGAAAAAGTGATCTTTAGGCAAGGTGCATTGCTAAGAGCTCTTTAAGAAATAAGGGGATATTATGTAAAATATCCCAATACTATCTGTAGGACCTGCCCTAATGTAAATATTTTTTCCATTTTCTTCATGATCATCCTCATCATCACAAGGGCAAGCATTTAATTAAGCTCATTCACTGGAGAAGGAAGTAGCAACCCACTCCAGTACTCTCGCCTGGAGAATCCCATGGACAGAGGAGCCTGGTGGGCTACAGTCCATGAGGTCACAGAGTCGGACGCAACTCAGCGACTGAGCACAGCACAGCAAAATGCACATCACTAAGGGTTTAACTTCCATTACCTAGTATCTAATTTTTCCTCACACTATCGCTGATTTACAGATGAGGAAACCAAGGCTTTAAATAGTCATATTACTTGATCAAGGTTCGCTGGAAAGTAGGACTTTTAGGACCGTGTGACCAAAAATGCATACATTCTACCATTACACTTTATTCTGCTTTCATTTTAGTCAAGACAGGCTTGACTGACTCATTTGTGAGTTTGAAATGACTACCCCAGCAAAATGTCATGAGCTCACTTCGAGATTCCTTTGACTATGGGAATTGCCCCATGGGAGCCTTCATGAGAAAGATGAGAGGGAAATGAAGAGACAGGTCAAAGAGAAGGGAAAGAAAGATCTGTGGTTAAACTTTGTGGCCGTGTACACACAGGTGAACCCAGAGGCACGAGGGAGGAGGGTGTTTCTATACGGATGGCCCAAGAAAGTAACTGGTGCTCATCCTGCACAGAGGCTGTGTGTGGGGCTGATGCTTAATAATTTAATACATTTGGGTGCTGTCTGCAATAATGGTCCAGTAATTAATTCTTGGTATAAATCGCGTTGGCTGCCCGGATCACAAGATGTAGTATCTAAGCAACTGGTCCAGTGCGCCAAATCTCCATGACGAAATGGAAGTATGAAAATTAAATGAACTTGTAGAAGTACACGCATCTTATAGGTTACTAGTCAGAAGAGTCTCTTAGAGCCAAGGGAGCCTCTTTGAAACAAAGGCATGATTAAATTGCCAGTGCTAATGTAAATAGAAGTCCAATCAGAGAATGTACTCACTGATCTTAATTTCTTTGATAAGTTTGCTCTGTCCTGTCTTTAGCTGGATGAGCTCACTTTTCTTTTCCACAATACTAGTGTGCAAATGTTCCTCTGCAATCCCACATGGGTCCACCTTTTGTTAAAAGCACAGAATTTTGAAATGCTGTGGGGAAAAAAAAAAAACAAAATAAAGGCAAAACCATGACTACTGAATAAAGGGGCTTCCCTCATAGCTCAAATGCTAAAGAATCTGCCTGCAGTGCAGTAGACTTGGGTTTGATCCCTGGGTCAGGAAGATCCCTTGGAGAAGAAAATGGCAACCCACACCAGCATTCTCGCCTGGAGAATTCCAAGGACAGAGGAGCCTGGCAGGCTACAGTCCATGGGGTCGCAAAGAGTCAGACACGACTGAGCAACTAAGCACATTAAATAAAGAACTAATGGCATTACATTTAAATATTAATTTAAATATTTGCATCTAGTTGGAAAGATGAGTCTTTCCCTTTCCTCAAGAAATTTTAACCCATGAAATTAAAATACACAAAAAATCTTCCTAAGTGAACTGATCGTTTCAGTTATAAAAGCTATGGCCTCCACTGAATGGGCCCATCAATCACTATAAATCCAAATTCATTTGGGATTCTCCAAGGAAAAAAGACTGGAGTGGTTTGCCATTTCCTTCTCCAGGGGGTCTTCCCAATCCAGGGATCGAAAGTGGGTCATCTCCTGCATTGTAGGCAGACTGTTTACCAGCTAAGCCACCAGGGAAACCCATATGTACATACATACATATACATATATATTTGATTATAGCTATTATAGTAAAATTCACATACCAATGACCCAAGTGTTTATTAAGATGAAGTAATAACCATGACAGCTCATGACATTTGAATAGTGCTCTTAGATGTTTACTGTTTATTTTATTTTTATTAGAAATTGTTGATAAGAAAGTATAAAAGATACTGAGGCACAGGACAATGAACGGACCTTTTGGAGTAGGGAAGCCATGCCTGGGGCAGAAGAAACGCAGACTCTTCCAGCAAATCTGCTGAGGGCCACCAGCTTGGCCTTTGCAGCCTGGCCTGCCTGCCCCTTCATCAGTTCCTCTGTCCTTGCCCACGCTCTCCTTAGCTTCTTCTAAGCCTGCGAGGCTGAATGGTCCCAGGCAAGGCTCTACGTAGGGTTTGGCAAGACCAGCTCCTTCCTTTCCCAAGGCCCTTTACAGGAAGCAGATCACAGCATTTGCTGTACTTCCCACCACCTGACTTGTGGGAACCAGAAAAACCGAGGAAACTTCTCATCTTCTTCCATCTATGATACAAAATAGGAAAAAGCTTTCTTCTCCATGATAATATAATTTTGCTGGTTGATCGCCACATGAAGTTCCACTGAGGACCTTGTAGCTTTAAAATATCAAGGCCCAATTATGCTAAGTGAAATTAGTCAGACAGAAGAAAAGACAAAAACTGTATGAGATCATTTACACGTTGAAGTATCTAAAAAATACAACAGGCTAATGGCTGTAAGCCAGAAGAAGCAGACTGGCAGCCACAGAAAACAAACTGCTGGTTACCAGAGCCGGGGAGGGAGAGCAAAAATCACAGGGGGGGGGCGCGGGGGCACACAATAGCGCACAAAAAAAAAGACACAGGATATAGCACAAAAAGAAGAAAGGAACCCAAAACTTAAAAGAAACGGAAAGGGAAGAAAACCCGGAAAAAAGGTGAATCATATTGTGCATCTGTGAATTACATGATACAATTTTATATAATATCAACCATAATTCAATAAAATAAAATGATAAGGATACATGAAATTAGTTAGTTAATTAAACTATCAAGGCCCAAGACTTCTCAGTAAAATTGCAAATGTCTTATTCCTAAAAGCGTGCCATCATATACTGTTATAAATGACAGGCTGATGAAAAGCCTGATGCAAACCTAGTAAAATGCACCCTTCGCATAGCTCCCACTAAGAAGGTTTAAAAGACCAAACAAGCAAAGCCCAGGAAAGCAGAGAGAACAAACCTAGCAGAGATCAGAAACTGGGAGGCTTTGCACACCTGAGTAAGCGAAAGCCGAGTCTGTGAAGTCTTCCGTTTTAAAGTCTCTTGGGGAGCTGACTGCTCAGATGGGAGTTGCTGGTGAATGGTGCGTGCCTCTGAAAAGCTCTTCACGTCTGTCCTCATCTGTGTCGCCCTCTGGTTCAGTCGGAGCCCAAGGGAAATGGCAGCATCAAGAAGAGACTGCCGTCCATCGTGGAAGACGAGGAGGAGGAGGACTTGGGGGAGGAGACGGCCTCCCTGTCCCCCGTCTGCACCAGGGGACCCGCCTCTTCTCGCAGCAAGCGGCCTGGAGGCGGCAAGAGCTACCTCGGCTTGAGCTTGAAGCAGCTGGCCTCGGGGACCGTGCCGTTTCATTCACCTATCAGAGTCTCCAGTTCAAACTCGCCCAAAACCAAACAGGAGACGGATGCCCCAAACCACGGCAAAAGCAAAGAGAAGAACTTGAAACTGCAGCTTTCAACCTTGAACAGTGCTGGACCCCCAGACCTCAGTCCAAGGTAAGAGCTTACCTCATAGAATCCTCTCCCGGGGAGATGGCTGCCTTTGCCCCTCGCTGGCATCTGGCTAGAAAATGACTCAGCCTTCTGGGCCTTTCTACCATGAAAGTCCCGAGCCTGGAGGCTTCAGCGTTCCTAAATTTTTCTGTGCAATTTTTGACTCTATAGTGAAGTGTGGGCAGAATGAGAATAAATCATGTTAGTCATATTCTCAACAGGGTCCATTAAATGTTCCCAATTCCTTCTCTTCTCCATTTGTTCATTTAGCTCTACCTACTTTTACATAGGAGCGGGTTGCCATTAACGCCTCCAGGGGATCTTCCCAATGCAGGGACTGAACCCACGTCTCCTGTGACGTCTGCACTGGCAGGTGGATTGAGCCAGTCTGCCAACGAACCACCTGGGAAGCCCCAACTGTGTACACGCTCTTATAGATGCATATTTCTACATTGTAATTTTATAATTTATAAATTTCTAATAAAAATGAAAGAGAGGAAATGAAGTTTATATCATTATCCCTTGATATCTGAAACTTTACCAACAGTTTCACAGGGCACTCAGTGGAAATGATAGAGAAAATTAAGTGCTGCTCCTCATTTCCCATAGTATTTGCTTCATTATTGTGACGTGCCTCTGAAAAGCTCTTCACGTCTGTCCTCATCTGTGTCGCCCTCTGGTTCAGTCGGAGCCCAAGGGAAATGGCAGCATCAAGAAGAGACTGCCGTCCATCGTGGAAGACGAGGAGGAGGAGGACTTGGGGGAGGAGACGGCCTCCCTGTCCCCCGTCTGCACCAGGGGACCCGCCTCTTCTCGCAGCAAGCGGCCTGGAGGCGGCAAGAGCTACCTCGGCTTGAGCTTGAAGCAGCTGGCCTCGGGGACCGTGCCGTTTCATTCACCTATCAGAGTCTCCAGTTCAAACTCCCCCAAAACCAAACAGGAGACGGATGCCCCAAACCACGGCAAAAGCAAAGAGAAGAACTTGAAACTGCAGCTTTCAACCTTGAACAGTGCTGGACCCCCAGACCTCAGTCCAAGGTAAGAGCTTACCTCATAGAATCCTCTCCCGGGGAGATGGCTGCCTTTGCCCCTCGCTGGCATCTGGCTAGAAAATGACTCAGCCTTCTGGGCCTTTCTACCATGAAAGTCCCGAGCCTGGAGGCTTCAGCGTTCCTAAATTTTTCTGTGCAATTTTTGACTCTATAGTGAAGTGTGGGCAGAATGAGAATAAATCATGTTAGTCATATTCTCAACAGGGTCCATTAAATGTTCCCAATTCCTTCTCTTCTCCATTTGTTCATTTAGCTCTACCTACTTTTACATAGGAGCGGGTTGCCATTAACGCCTCCAGGGGATCTTCCCAATGCAGGGACTGAACCCACGTCTCCTGTGACGTCTGCACTGGCAGGTGGATTGAGCCAGTCTGCCAACGAACCACCTGGGAAGCCCCAACTGTGTACACGCTCTTATAGATGCATATTTCTACATTGTAATTTTATAATTTATAAATTTCTAATAAAAATGAAAGAGAGGAAATGAAGTTTATATCATTATCCCTTGATATCTGAAACTTTACCAACAGTTTCACAGGGCACTCAGTGGAAATGATAGAGAAAATTAAGTGCTGCTCCTCATTTCCCATAGTATTTGCTTCATTATTGTGAATAACTGAAGCTTGATTTTACTCCCAGCCTCTTCAGTAGGTAATACGGGATGCTTCTATTTTTAATTTAAAACATTCACTTTAGGATCCACTAAAGATGATTGAGACAGTAAAAATTCCTGACTCAGAAAACGTGAAAGGGGTAGACTATGGGGCAAAGCAGCTAATTAAAAAGTAGACATAAGAAAAAAGCATATTGAATGATTTCTATTCCCATTTACTCGGCTGGGTAATTTTGCATTTACTGTTATGGTTAGTCTTTTCAGGAATCTTATAAAGTAGTTCATAGTACCTCGGCTATAAACTTATAAGAAGTGTATTTTGAAGGTTAAATAGTTTGTCTAAAATTTAAGAAATTTGAGTTCTGAAATATAGATTCAAAGTCTGTTTTTCTGTTCATAAGGCAAGAGATCTTTCTGGTATACTATATATTGGTTACTCACTTGAAGAATACACTTTATCCATTTAGAGAAAATAGTAAGGAAAAAATAAGCAAAGCAGGCTTAGTGAAAAGTAGATGGATATTAAATGTTCAGGAATTCAGTTGGAGATGGTAATTTGAAAACTCAGCTTAACTGTTCTTTCTCTAAAATGAGAAAATAATAAATTTTAAATAGGGGGGAAATGTGTCAGAGCTGGAAAATAAAGGTTCATGTACAACTGATTCTATACTTATGAAAAAAATGTTTTATTATATATACAGAAATATTTTGAGAACATGGCAAAATGTTAATGATAATTGTGCATGACAGATGATTTTTCTTTTGAGATTTTGATTGCATGTTTACATTTTCTACAATAAATTAATCTTTTTAAAAAAATTATGAGCAGGTTAGATATTCACCAAGGAAAGAAGATTAGCTAGAGTCCTAGTAGTCATTTAAGTACAATTCTTCAGCTGTCACTTCAGAGTTTCAAGTCTAGAGTGAAGTGATCATTAGGTTAAAACACTTTAATTCTGGATAGAACAGTAAATTAATATAAAGTTAGATAAGAGGACCGGAGAAGGCAATGGCACCCCACTCCAGTACTCTTGCCTGGAAAATCCCATGGACCAAGGAGCCTGGTGGGCTTCAGTCCATGGGGTCGCTAAGAGTCAGACACGACTGAGCGACTTCACTTTCACTTTTCACTCTCATGCATTGGAGAAGAAATGGCAACCCACTCCAGTGTTCTTGCCTGAAGAATCCCAGGGACGGGGGAGCCTGGTGGGCTGCCGTCTATGGGGTCACACAGAGCCGGAGACGACTGAAGTGACTTAGCAGCAGCAGCAGCAGATAAGAGGACTTCTGTAGCTAAGGTTTTGAATCTGAGAATAAATAAGAATCTAAAATCTATAGAATTGCTGTTCAATAGAAATATAACGTGAGATAAAATTGTGAGACACACAAGCATTTCTAATCATTCCAGTAGCCACATCTTTGGAAAGTAAACACACATGTGCACACTTGTGAAATTATTTAATAATAATTCAATGATATGTTTTATTTGATTTGAGATGCCTCAGATATTAGCATTTCAGATGTAAACAGTATAAAAAATTACTAGTTAAATAGCGTAATGTTTTTACGAAAATCTTCAAAGTCCGGTGTGTGTTTTATACTTGCAGCACATCTCATTTTCACACTGCCGGCGCTCAGCGGCTGTGGAAGGCTAATGGCTACCAGGCTCTGATGTCCTTGTGTCAGGATCTCCTGCTAATGAGCAAGTCCTTCCATGGCCAAAGCCAAGCCCAAGAAAGACTTCTGAGTGTACAGTCCTGGGGGGAATGTGTCTCCATTTGGTAGAATGCCAGTCTTCTATCTCAGTCAGCACCTCTTCCAGGCACTGATCATCTCCTGGGGAGACAGGTGGGTGAGACCCCCTGGTAGGATGACAGTGGGGTAGGGAAGGTGAGGAGAGGAATGCAGATGGCAGTCAGCAGTTCTTATGCGTTCATGTAATGGATTTTCATGTGCTGATACCACTCTGCTTGGAGCAAGAGGCACAGAAATATAGTTCTGGTCAAACAGGTGTGAGTCTTTGCTGTGGAAGCTGGTGGTGGTCCCACCTGGGAGTTCTCCTTGTTGGGTCATAGGACGTCACCATGACTGCCCACCTGATATTCCTGGTCCCGCCACCTTCCACCCTCCTCCTCTCCCTTTCCCAGCGTGCACACTGACACTCACTCATCCGTTCAAGCAACAAGCATGCTTGACTCTGCCTTCTACGTGTCTCTCATTTCTGTCTGAGACTTTCTGTCCTTTCTGCCACTACCCTTTCCCCGCCTCATTCATCTCTTGCCTGCTTTGCTGCCAAAGTCTCTTTTCTGCTTTCACTCTGTTCTCCAAAAAGAGTGGACAATTTTTTAAAAATATAAATGTATTCTTATTATTTTATTCCTATGCTTAAAATCCTGAGATGGACTCCCATTGCCTTTAGCATGAAATTCAAGCCTATTGCCTAATTGCTTTTTGAATGTTTCTTTTCTCTGCTAGACTCACAGTTCCAGGAGGGTCAATATATTTCCTTTATTTCTGTCTCCTCGAAAGGGGAACTTCCCTGATAGCTCAGCTGGTAAAGAATCCGCCTGCAATGCAGGAGACCCAGGTTCAATTCCTGGATTGGGAAGATTCCCTGGAGAAGGGATAGGCTACCCACTCCAGTATTCTTGGGCTTCCCTTGCGGCTCAGCTGGTAAAGAATCCGCCTACAATGCAGGAGATCTGAGTTCGATCTTTGGGTTGGGAAGATCCCCTGGAGAAAGGAAAGACTACGCACTCCAGCATTCTGGCCTAGAGAATTCCATACACTGTATAGTCCATGAGGTTGCAAAGAGTCAGACACGACTGAGCGACTTTCACTTCACTTCACCTCCAAAGGAGGTCTAGCCTACTGTAAGTGATCTTGTATTATTCATTGAATGAATAGATTAACTTTGCAAAATACCTCTGTAAAAGGAGCTTTTACTACTCTGCCACTTCAGATTGTTTTGAACAACTTTTTTTTCCTCCCACAAATAAATTCTCTGTGCTTAGTTGACCAGAATTAGGATATTAAGATAGTCATATCATGATATTTATACTGACAGATAGTACAGGTATAGATGTCTCTATATATCAAATCCTTTCCACTCTAGCTAGCAATGACTCATCTGTGCTTCTGCTCCTAACAGATATGAATAGCTTTGTAAAAGTACTGTAGAGAAAAGGTGGCGATAAGAGAACCAGGAAATGGGAGAAATTACCTTTTAGTGCAACAGAAGAGACAGAAATCTGCAGTGGAGAGGAGCACCTTTAATAGAGGAAGGAAGAAAATGCTCTCATGGACCCAGGCATCAAAATTTGGGAAGGAAAGAGAGGAGGAAAAGAGCGCTCCTTTTCCATGGCTTGGAGGACGCTGGCTGCGATATATTTTTTGGCAAACAGTCAAAGAAGAGAACGAGAGCCCTTTGGCCGCACGGTAGTGATAGTGTTAAGGAGACAGGGCATTTGGCCGTGGACACACCCAGTAAGTGTGGTCACAGTCCCCGCCATGCTGCGGGCCCGGTTCCAAAGAGTCCATCCGGTGCCATCCAGAGGCACACCGGGGAGCCAGAACTGACGGTGTACGCGTCTCAGGCAAGGTAGCCTGGGCTTCCTTCCCGGTCCGGTCGCCCCAGTCCTCAGACATGAGGCGTATTCCTAAGGGCTCATTCTGTGTATGTCACTTTCCAGACCCAGAGGTTGGAGCTGCTGTCCTCTTCATCAAGGCGGAGGAGACGAAGCAGCAAATAAACAGACTCAACAGCGAGGTACGGGGCTTTGCTTTCTCTGCTCAGGCTGGGGTGGTAAGGGGCTAGAGCGCCCAGGCACCCGCAGAGGCGGTGTGATAGAGTCGAGGCAAACATGCGCTCTCGTGGCTAGCGACAAGTGTGGATGGATTCCCACTCGACCTGATGTGAGTATCATCATAACTTAACTTAACTTAACTTAACTTAACATAACATAACATAAGTTAACTTAACATAACATAGCGTAACTTCTCTCAAGCTCTGCCTCGCCATAACAAGGAGATAGCAGTTATACCTACCTTACGGCCCATCTCTGAAGTTAAATGGGATCATCTAGCTAAATCATTTAACATACAGGAAGCATTAAGTGCTAATTTCTCTAATTAATGTCATAAATGTATTGATATTTGATTTCATTAGTGCTTTTTTAAACATACTTTGACTTTTAATGAGTTAAAGCAAGATCATTCATCCAGAGATTAATCAGAAGTAATGAATCAGAGTGATCCAGTGGCCTGAAGCTGTTCTTTTCTCTAGCCTGCATTTGCTGTATAACTGAGCAATTTAGCTCTCTGGATCTTACCAGAGATTTTATTTGTATAAAATAAGGTAATTATAAAAACAATTTTATTGTGCTATACTGTACATCTCATAAAAGGCACTCATTTGAAATGAGTACAATTTAATAATTTTTAGTAGCTTTATTGAGTGGTTCAACCATGCTCATGTGAGTTTTAGAATATTTTTATCACCCTAACAAGATCTCCCACACCCAATCATGATTAATTCCTGTTCCCATATCCAGTCCTGGGCAACCACTTGTCTACTTGCTGTTTCTATAAGTCTTTTCTGGATATTTCATACAAAAAGAGAAGGTAATTTCTGAATCACTCTGTTCATTTGGGCGCCCCCCCCCCAATATAATTAATTGTTTTAAAAAAGATTTTGAGACAATGACTTGCATGCAGATACTTTCTCTGGGAGGTCCTCTGGGAAGCAAGAGGAAGGAGTAGAGGAATAAGACAGGAAAGAAAGGAAGGCGAGTGAATGGGGGCGTGAATGAGATGATTAACTCTGAAGGCAGTTGGGGCTCCATTCTGCTGGGGTGCGGGGCGCTGGGAGCTTGTGTAGGGCACCTCGGAATCGTTCTTCTGTGAGACAAGAGAAGAGATGGCTTCTGAGGGGTTACCTGCAGGCTTAGCTGCCCGAGAGACTAGAAAGATCCTTCAAATAGGGAAATGAAGGAAGACCCAACTGTTCGTGACGACCTTCAGGATACACCTAGGTCAAGTGCCGTGAGCAGGCACAGGTAGGTAATAGGGCCGAGGTGGTAGATGCTCTGATGAGATCTCGGCAGGAAATGTAGCCAGCTGATGATGTGGATGAGATCTGAGAAAAATGAAATTCATATAAACGTCACTGGTTTCCAGTTTTCCGTAGCAGCGGAGAACTGGGCATCTTGTCACGACGTGCAGAGGCTTCTGTTCCCCATTGCTCCGCCAGCTCAGGGAGGATGCGTGTCTCACTGCGCTCTGTCCTGCGTCTGCGCTCTCTGGAGCTGAGAGTGTTGCCACCAGGAACGAAGAGGCCAAAGTGCAGACTAACAAGTGAGGGACAGAAACACTCGCTGGCTTGAAACTCCTGTAGCTGTAAGGACTTGTCCGTATGTGGGGTCACCCCCAAAGCCCCTTTTTGAAAATACACCAAAAGAGCAAAAGCCTGGACATCAACGTTGTGTGTGTGTGTGTGTGTGTGTGTGTGTTTGGTTTAAGAGCACTTTATTGTGGTGGAGCTTTTTTGATTGGCGGGGTTTTTTGGTTTGTTTGTTTGAACATCAACTTTTTGTGAAACAATTTCCTTTAAAATATTGTCATCAGATAAAATCACCTATCTAAATTATTTTCTCTCACATTTGAGGAGATTATCTAGTAGCTGTAAGAATGGACTGACCAATATCTTAGCTCAGCTACAGAAGTTAGTGACTAGTTTGGGGAAAAAATGTGTATCTTCACCTTTTTGGGATATTGATGATTTTTCCAAGTTACAGCTGAAAATCCATACAGTATATGCCTTTCCTTTCAGAATGTGAGTCAATGATAAATGCATTAAAACATATGACCACTTGGAAAACAAAATATTTCCCCTGTGTGATTCTACATTCATGACTGCTTTTCTAGTGAAATGACATAAATCTTGTTGTCTTGTCATATACTGAAGTTAAAAGGTAAAAAGGGCAAGATAAGTGTCAGTGGTCCAATTATTCCTTCCTTAAAGAATTAGTTTTCCTTAGTTGAAAATATCTGATTTCTTCATAGTTGAAGTGTAACTAAAAAAAAAAAAAAAAAGATCTTACTTTTCACACATAATTTGTACATAGTCTTGACCTTTAGGTAGTACATTAAAACTCACTAAGACAAATAGGATTAAAATACGAACTGACTTCAAACTGTAAAATTAACTAATGTTTATATAGCCAAAAAAAAAAATTCTGTCTTTCAAAGGCCAAGACTGATTTTTCCGTTTCACCTACTTCTTGCTACTCACATATGTGATCATTTGATTGCTCTGTTCTTTCTTTATTCTATTCTTTTGGTTAGGAGTAAGCAGGAAAAGAATTAATAATAAATGGTAGGAGGCACTGCATGACAATAACTCTGCAACCCAAAGGGGACCCCCTTAATCTAGGTGAGGCATATTTGACACTGCGTAACCCAGAAGGCATTGTGCAATCCCTATTCTGATATTTGCTCAAACAGTTCAGATATAAAGAAATTGTTCATTGATGTGTAGAGTTCATAATCAGCTGACTAAATACAGTACTAAAATAAGAAAGGAAAAGTGTTGGTAACAACCTACATTCACAGAACCGTTTAGAGAGCTTAGGAGATGTAGGACAGCTGCTGCTGTTTGAATGCTTTTGAAAACATTGCCATTGCTTTGCAGCGGTGAAATAGTGACATGCTAAGAAAATTGTTTAAAAATAACAACAAAACATCGTGGCGGGTGGCAAGGGCCGTGCCAGTCGAATACTCCACTTCTGAAAAGGTTTGTAGGTAAGGATCAGAGGGCTTCCTCATCTCTGAAATCTGGGTGACCCAGAAAGACTCCACAGCCAGGCCTACCAAGAGAAGCTGCATGCCCCATCCCAGCAGAGATAATGCATCGAACACAACAGAGAGAAAGGGGGAAAGTTTGGAGTGAGGACGGTACCTAGATCCCTATTCATGGACTAGCTCTGTGACTTCAGCAAAGTGTTCACCTTCCCTACATTCAGATCTGTCGTCTATTAAATATTAATAATACAATCTGTCAGAGAGGAGTGTTGCAGGGACTTCAGACTCAGTGCAAACAAACACGGTGTCTTCCTTTACTAAGTGGGCAAGTGATCATTCCTTCCTCGTGCAAGGTCATGCTTCTCGTCAACAAATGTGACTCAAGTTAGACCCCCACGCTACCCAGCAGTGCCGCATGCAGAGTGATAGCAGAATCCGTCAGTGCTGATGGAACCAAATGAAATGAATTAAGGGAAACATACTTGATTATGAAAATTACTGCTTTCACCTGGGATTTCCTTTTGCTATGAAGATGTTCACTGTCAAATTAGTATAGAAAGTGATAGGGCAAAAAAATGTTATGTTTCAATGCATCTTACTTTAGCTAAACAGTTTGAGGTAATGGTGTCACTGATTTACTGTAAGGAACACTTACTCTGTAACACTTACAGATTGAAGGGCAAAGAGAGCCAGTATGCCAGTTAATAATGCTTGACCGTTACTTGACATTACACTAAACATATAAACAGCAAAATGATGGTAAAACTAGGCAGAAAACAACCTGCCAAACTTACCAGGAAGATGACCGACCACAGTCAAATCTTCGTTTGCAAAGTGAGAAAATATGGTGACCTGTTAAATCGTCCTTAGCAGAGTGCAGCTTAGCTAGAATGTTCTACTTGCCACTTTTAGCATTTTTCTTATAGGTACGTAAAGGAATCAGTTAATACTGGGCCATTTTAAGGCAACTTGAACTTTAACTAAATTAAGAAGAATGAAATATATACATGACTAAACAAAAGAAACTTTATTTTGGGGGGGGCTCCAAAATCACTGCAGATGGTGACTGCAGCCATGAAATTAAAAGACACTTGCTCCTTGGAAGAAAAGCTATGACCAACCTAGACAGCATATTAAAAAGCAGAGACATTACTTTNTCCTGCATGCTGTGCAGTGTGGCCTAAATTAATTAACTAATTAAAGTGTAAAACACAAGGCCTTTTAGTATATTCCTGGACTCGTGCATGCATCACCATAATAAATTTTCGCACATTTCGTTACCCCACAAAGAAAGTTTGCCACACAGCGAACACTAGTGGCTCCCCACCCCTCAGCCCCATGCAACCGCTGATCCACACTCCGCGCCTACACATTCACCTACTCTGGGCATTTCAGATAAGTGGAATTGCACAATATGGCCCCTTGTGACTAGCTCTTTTCATTGAGCGTGTTTTTGCTGTTTTCATCTCACGTTGTGGCATGCCAGTACTTTATTCCTTTCTATTGCCAAATAATAGGTTTAATTATATAGATATTCCACATTTTATTTATTCATTCATCACTAGATGGGCATTTGTGGTATGCCCACTCTTTGGCAATAAGAATAATGCTGCTATGAACATTCATAAAACACTCAGAAAAAGTTTCGTGTGAACTTTAAAAGAAAAGCATGTGCGAAAGGATTTTATTGCTCTCTGTCCGCCCTGAGTGATTTCAGCCAGGTACAGATGGCCATCACAGTGTGATGGGTAGTCCTTTGAATATGTATTCTATTTTTATTTTTAATTGGAGGATAGTTGGTTCACAACACTGCGCTAGCTTCTGCTGTACAAGAACACGAGTCAGCCTTAAGGCATCATGCATCCCCTGCTCCCGGGGCCTCCCTCCCACGCCCCATCTCCCCCATCCCGGTCATCACAGAGCACCCGGCAGAGCTCCCTGGGCTCAGAGCAGCTTCTCACTAGCATC